CGACGCCGACGCGCGCGCCGACGGCGCTGAACCCCGGCTGGGTCGGCACGTACTTCGCGGAGCTGGCGCCGTATCCCGGTACGTCCGTCCGCGCGCTTCGTTTCGGCCCGAAGACAATTCCGTAGGCTACGCCGGCGACGTCGACGTCCAGGGCTACGTCGTCGTCGACCAGAAGCTCTACGAAAACTCCGGCGTGTCGTCGCGCTACGTCGACGGCCGCGGCTGCTACGTCCGCGTCGACGGCCGCCTCTCGAACCTCGAGGCGGGCGCGACGGGCGGGTTCCACGTCCACGCGGGCACGAGCTGCGCGAACGTCACGGCGGCCGGCGACCCCGTCGGCGGCCACTACTACGAGGGCGACTACGTGCGCGACGACCCCTGGACCGTCGTCGAGTGGACGACGTCGAGTTCGTGCGGTCCGGACTGCGACAACGAGGGCGCGGCCTTCGAGTTCGCGTTCGGCCTCGAGACGCTGGGCCGCGCGGTCGTCGTCCACGCGGCGGACGGCACGCGGGTCGCGTGCGGCGTGCTCGGCCGGGGCCTGCCGACGCCCGCGCCCAGCACATCGGCGCCGACGCCCGCGTCGCCCGCGCCGAACGCCGCGCCCACGGCCGCGCCGACGACGGCGGCGCCGACGACGCGCACGGCCGCGCCGACCGTGCCCAGCGAGACGGCCTACGAGGCGGCGATGGGTCCCTATCCCGGCTACGACGGCCCCCTCGACGTCTCCGGCGCCGTCACCTTCACGGTGCAGCGGTACCCCGCCGCCGCGGACCGCCAGACCGCGTCCATCGGCGCGTACCCGGGCTACGCCGGCGACGTCGCGGTGACGGGGTCCGTCGTCGTCTCCGAGACGGACGGCGGCATCCAGATGTGGGGCGCGCTCGCGGGCCTCGAGGCGTCCGTCGCCGGCGGCTTCCACATCCACAGCGGCACGACCTGCGCGAGCGCCGACGCCGTCGGCGGCCACTACTTCGAGGGCATGGCCGACGATCCGTGGACGACGAACTACGAGAGCGACTCCGTCGGCTCGTCTACGACGTCCCTGTCGCTCGACGACTTC